GACAGTGACTACTCTTGTGGTAGTGTTGGATTTTGTGCACAACACTGACCGAGACAAAGCAGACGCAAAACAACTTTGAAAGTCGCCGGAAAAAAAGAGTTCCGGTGACTGATTTTACTTCCCGGAATCGCTGGAATTTATGCACAGCGATAAATCTCTCACGATAGCTCTGATACCATGTGAGAAGGCACAGGAGAAAATATGATATATTGATATTGTGTGTGATGCAATACAAGAGGTGCTATTTATAGCTACTCTATACAAAGGGGATACTACTCCTATTCCAATGTGGGACAATTACATAGCTATCTCTAACATTAAGGTTTAGGTCCACCAACTTATGAGACAAAAAGAAGACTCGCACAACTAGTTTTAGTTGTATGAGGCACAAAATAAATCTTTTCGATAAGTATCGTCTTTTCTAACAATTAGATATGAAATGTGTATCCCTCTTTCCAGGTATGTTCAAAATCCATCCTCTCAAGCAAATGTATCAAAAAAATTCACAATTGCAATAAGCATGAGCCCAACTTACACAAATTCCCAATTGCTTTTAACCTCCTCGATAGGAACATAAGCAATTACTTAATAGACTCCTTTTTTTAAAAGCAACAATATTTTATAGACATTCTCTACCAAACTAACAGAGCAAGACTCTTTATAACTCTTTGGCCCCATTCTTCCAATAGAGCAAAATGAAAATGAGCTAAAACTCTTCTAAAAAGTACCATTCATGAAAATAATGGATACAAAGACTCTTTATATCCTTGGCCCCAATCTTCCAAATGGGCAAACTGAAATGCGTATAACCTTTCTCAAAAGTACCATACATAAAAAATAATGAGCGCGTCCTATCACATCATTCTCCATTAATTCCCAGAAACAAAGGAAGAAGACCAACATAAACCCATAACAACCCAGAACCTTATTGCCCTCGCTAGTCCCTCCATCAACTCTTTTCTTTATCAAAGGTCTATCAAATGCTACGCTTTCATCCCTACTAATCCTCATGTTACTTTATCCAAGGTTGGCCTCTAATTCTCCTCCTCACAAAATTGCTTGGTAATGACTGACTACTCAATCGTTGAGTTCCCATTCCTTGAAGTTATATATTACTCCCTCCGTTTCAATTTATATGACACACTTTACTTACTAATCTGTTTCAAAAAGAATGATACATTTCTATATTTGGAAACAATTTAACATTAAACTTTTTATTTTTACCCATTTTTCCCTTAATGAGAAGCTTTTACAGCCACACAAATATCATAGCCCCACAAAGCTTTTAGGACCACAAGATTCAAAAATCTTTTTTTTCCTTAAACTCCATGCAAAATCAACCTACCTCATATAAATTGAAACGGAGTACGAATTTTTTGTTCCTCAACTTTTATCTTCAAGGTGCATTAGGAAGAATATCACTCAGTTAATTTTTGTCCTTCCAATTCCTCCCTTATGAGCTTTCTCCCCAAAAGTGCCCTCCCATCTCTTTTCCTTCCAACAATGCTTTGTTAGTCTCTAATATCCTGAAACCTCATGTTTACATCTCCTTGGGAAATGCATATGCCAAGATTTTCAGTTTATGTAAATGTTAAAGATTGATGGATATTTATTCTATGCTCTATAAAAGACTTATTATATTAACTATACATTTTAAGTATTTTTCTTATTTGGGTAATTGTTCATACTAACTCATATACATTCAACTCAATCATAATAAATCAAACCAAGCTCATCTTAACCATCTTTGCATGCGTTAATAAGTAAATTAATTATGGCTAGAAACCCAGCTCCGGTTAAGTCTCACATCATGAGAGTATACTTTCTCAACCAGATTTTCAGCACTACTATTAGCGACATCCTAGGGCGTCAACTAAAGATATTAAGCTCATTCACGTGATTTTCCTTCGTTGATCCATCGACTCCTGAAGGTGGATGCATCAACCAAGGCCGTTATAAGAGGCACACTAACAACATTAAATATAAAGAAATGCTATTAATCAATGACGTAAACACAATACATAAGAAAATCAAGATGAACAATGAGCTTATGGGTCATAGTGTAAGGAATGGCATAAAGAAATAAATCTAAAGAAGCAATAGGTCTTACCTTTCATAAATACATCAATTTAAACTTACCTACTCATTTTCTAGTTTACGCCTTATTGCACTTTACAAGTTCTAGACTTAAAGAAGCAATAGACTGAAATATTCATCATCTATTTTATGATGCTGAAATGGATAAAACATGAGTACGGACATGGATCTGTCAAATATTCCTACAGTGTAATGTTCTCTTAGTGAATTATTTTTAAAGCAAATTCTGTAGACGTGTTTTTTCTTTTTATTTATTGGCCTACCATATATGTGAATTACTCATGATCGGATTGAGTCGTATAAATGCAGCGGTAAGGAATTTTGAGGCATTGTGTTTTCAAAATCTTTTTAGCACTTTCTTAATTTAGAAAGAAACCTAGCCAAATTACCACATAATGATACCGATGAATTTGCTTTCTTGAAAAGTTGAGTAGAGCAGAATTTAAGTATGGTATTGATTAATATACATAGCTTTTTTTTACCGGGATAACAATGAGAGGATAAGCACCTTGAAAGAAGTTGCTCATGTTTCCGGTCTTGACCAGGCTAACTATAACTATGAAATATTATTACTAAAGTTGGGTAACTACATAAAAGGAGCAAAGGTGTTGCAGAGATTACTGAACCGACCATATGGTTTAGCCATATGGATGATATGTCGAGGGGCCCTTGGGCCTAAGGGAATAGATTGTAGCTGGGTACAAATACGCCGAGAAGCTCTTAGCAGGATGCTTGGTCCAGGCAATTTACACAAAGTACCTCAAACTAGGCTTCGCAATTCTACAGGTCGAAATCGTTTAATTCCCAAAGTTCTTGTACATGGCATTAGAGACGTGAACATAACTTGTGCTTAATGTATAACATATGTTGAAACAACAATAATTAGATCATCTCTAGATGCATGAGAAGATAATTAAGATGATTAGTTTGAAAAACAAATGATGCAATCCTCCGTGTTTTTGGCTAGTGAAGAGGCCAAGCTAGCTAATATTAATATTGTCATGAGCTCAGTTCCACTTTATTTTGTTATTGCTTCGTTAATGGCAAATAAAGCAGGAACAAGTTTTCCTAGAAATGTTTTGTCTAGTGTTTGCAATATTTTGGCTAAGACTTGGTAATCTGAGCATCCTAAGAGATGCTCCTATGATTGTGTAATGACTATATCAGGTACGTAATAGTCGTAAACAACTGCTTCTACAAAATTATAGTCTATACCAAACAATATTTGTATAGGGAAGAGAATATGACAATTGATTATGTAAAATTTAGTAATACAGTTGATTACATAATGGATAGCTAAACCAGAAAGACGTTTAATGATTACAGTATAATATATTAAAACAAAAGACTAAAGTCATTATACAACTACAGAAGCATCACTTAGAATGCTCAAAATACCAAGTCTAGCAAAAAACTACAAACACTAGTGGAAATGTTCTAGGAAAAACATGACAATATTAGTAGTAGCTAGCTTGTCAGCGTCACTAGCCAAAAACACGAAGGGTTGCATCAATTTTGTTCAAAGTTCAAACTAATCATCAAAATTATCTTCTCATACATCCAACTCATTAAGGCATGCAAAAAGGGTTAAGATAAGCTTGGTCTGGTTTGTGTATTGTAGTAGAGCTGAATACAATGGAATAAAACTCTATCATAATAAAAAATTTTAAAGACAACAAATATGTTACTCTATCTGTCCCAATTTATGTGGCAGCATTTGACTAGGCACGGAGTTTAAGAAAGAAAAGAGAACTTTTTAAACTTGTGGTCTAAACAAGCAATAAAAATTTGTAAGGTTGTAAATTATCTCATTAAGGGTAAAATGAATTAAAATTAAATTGTTTCTAAATAAGTATGACATTCCTTTTGGGATTGACTAAAAAGAAAGAGTGCCAAATAAATTAGGACGGAGGGAGTATCTCTTATGAGTAATAGTTACTCCCTCCATTTCAATTTGTGTGATGTAGTTTGATTCAGCACGGAGTTTAAGAAAAGAAGGAAGACTTTTGAAACTTGTGGTGTTAAAAGCTTAAGGATAAAAACTTTTGTGGGGCTTTCAGTTTGTGTGGCTATAAAAAAAAACCTTCTAATTAAGGGTAAAATGAAAAGTATAAAGTTAACTTGTTACCAAATATAAAAATGTGCCATTCTCTTTTGGAACGGACTAATAAGGAAAGTGTATCGCATAAATTGATATGTAGAGAGTACAAGGCTTTCTAACATAACACCATGAATCAAAATATGATTATCACTAACAGGAATATCATTACAAACAACTGTTATGCATGTATAAAGATCATAATACATATAGCAGAATACAAAAAGACAACAATAAAGAAAAAAAGAACTAAGCTATTTAGAAATAAATCTACCATAAGATAAATCAAACACATATGACATACAACATTTTAAAGAATCAAAGCTGGAATATGAAAATAAATGTAAAAGACATGTGATTTTTTTCTATTTATCTGTAGCATGTCCCAAATATATTATAACATAAAAATGGAGAACATGAGAGATTTATAATTCTGTATCGTAAAAAGGAAAAGGAGGAATTAGAACAAAAATATCCAGCAAGTCACTCAATAGGTCTATTATAACTCCAATGGAGGGAATAACGCAAGGTAAGAGTCTTCTATCTAGTTGGAAATAAAATGGATAGAACGAGACAAAAAGAATAACTCACAAAACCGCCTCTTTGTAGCTCTAGGCAGAGTAATTTACCTCATTAATGTTGTACCCTCCTGTCCTTTTTGCAGAGCCAAAAGAATGGTCTGGAAACTTCACCTCCAGGGGACTACTGATACTTGAGTATCTAGAGTTCACAATGGTGATCAGATGAACTACAACAGAAAAAGCAAGGAAAAAAGAACTAATTCAGCAATGGGTACTGGTAGTACCTAGTGGCAATGGGAAGATCTGGATAACTCGGATGGTCATATTGAACAGCACCCTACAGAGAGAATGTGACACTTCTTTAGTCAACTGGTCCAACTGAAAAGACCATGGCAGCAAATGGTTTCCATAACCCAGAATAGTGTGACAAGTCACTCATTCAACCCAAATATATGTTCAAGAAGAAATTACAATCAATTCACCACCTTCCTTATAGGGCTATTAGTTTTGGTCAAAATACAAAAATGTTTTCAAGACCCTAAAAGCAAAAGCAACAGATGTTTTCTGAATAGTTTGATCTGTTTCAGTAGAGTGACAGTATGCTTCACATCAAACAAAATCGCAAAGAGCAAAACTATCAATATTTAAATTAATTACTATAATTGTAGTTTGCAGAGAATAATCACTGATCTTATTTTACTTAAGGAGCTCCCCTTGTAGTACCCAGAACCACTTCAATAAGAAGAGTATTCTCTTTTCAATTTCTCTTCGTCTTTCACATGGTATTAGAGCCTATACGATTTTTCTAGAAACTCAAATAGCTTTCTCTACAGGTGGGAGGCCTTCCACCTGCCTGGTGACCTGGTCGGTGTTTTGTTTTCTTTATTTCTTTCTTTCCGGTGACTGGCGCATCCTCTTTACAGCAACAGTCACCTCCTTTCTCAAGCATCCAACGCCTCCTCTTTAGCAACTAGCACCTTTCCTCTCTTCTTTGGGTGCGGTGCCACTCTCTTTCCGAAATCAATTCTAGTGGCGATGTGCATCTTTCCAGCAATTGTCTTGGAAATAGCTTTTTAGCAGCATTTTGCAGGCTGGGGTGGGGGTAGGGTAACAAAATCAATTTAGCAGCATGGTCATCCATGGTCACCTGCTGTCCCAACTCCCACATATCTCACGCTTTGCCAAATTGAGATCCATAAGGTCTAACCCCCACACCCCATCATATTGTGTGAACTAGTGTACAGAGGATATTCAACTTTACCATCAATGATGCCCCTAATAGACACCAATAGTTGTTATCTATTCCTTTATAAGAGTCGGACAGAAATGGGGCATAAGAACATTTAAAAAGCTTCCCTACATAGGCACTCTAATGTACAATTCCAGTAAATTCATTTTGAGTACAGGATCGGTGCCTCATACCACCACAACATCTCCACCCTTTAAATGATTAGATGATGCATTCTGCAGGTCATATGGTAGTGCAATATTGCTACGACTTTGTGTTCTCCTATTGTAAATGATCCTAGTAAAGGGTTTACAACAAACATATCGCACTACTCCTAACACCAAATATAAACAATCAGAAATGAAGGTATGAACTGGTCCAAGCGCCGCAGTTATTCGGAAAAAAATAAAGGTACAAACTCCAGTAGAAGCAACATTAGCAAGATGATCTTCCATACCTTCAAATGATCATATCTTCTAGAGCTGCCAGCTTCCATCACACCTGAACGTTGTGGATCTCCACTTCGGAAATCCTCTGAAGGACCAAATCCAGAAAGTGGCCTAACAGGAGCAGATTCCGCCTTGCTATTTACATCCCTAAGGGATCTTGCTCTAAGCCTAGAAGCAATCTCAACCAAGGCATCTTTTGCAACACCAAAGCTTCCAGATATCTGAATAAATAGAACTTCAATTATTTTGAGATTGAAATTTCTCACAAGATAGTGGAAACAACAGTACCGACATGCACAAGAAAACTGAAACTAGGACATATATGAACCGGAAGTGACTAGTCTAAACTTGCAGACTACAGATAAATCACCTGCACAAGCTCTTCATCTGCAGATGCGCATCTGGGTTTATCATCCTTGGAAATAACACGAATATCTGCTTGTGTCCTTCTCCTCATCTCATTGATAACCTGTCCTCCTTGACCAAGAATGCATCCAACCTTATTTGAGGGAACAAGAAGCCTTGTAGTGATAATTCCTTTGTCAGAAAATTCACTTGTTTTACTTTGAAGTTGAAGAATGGCATCAATAGTTTGTGATCTGGGATCCCACAGAGACTGGAAGGAAAAAAATGGCTTGGTGACATGCTCATGAGGATGCTAATATTATGAATTCTTCAATGAGATACATTACCTCCAAAGAGGAGACTTGAATAACTCTTTCATCAGATTCGGGTACGACATCCTCAACATGTATACTTGCTCCCGTTTCCTGCTGCAGTTGTTTTACATTGAAGCCCCCCTTGCCTATAACGCCACCAATTTTCGCAGCTGAACACAGAATTTTCATGGTGAAATCACTTGGAGCTTCACCAGCACAAGGGGGAGGATCATAATCAAAATCTGGACGACCAAATCCAGAAAGCTGGTTCCTATACCCTCCCACCCCTAACACAGGCCGCATACCATTTAAATTAGATCTACTTCGAGACCACATTGATTTTCCTGGAGGAATCATATTTTCCACAGGAGTACCAGGGGGGTGAAAACCTTGAGCACCATGTACCATGGGAAAACTCGAGGGAGGTTTGTCTTTGCGTGGATTCTGATGCAACAGAGTTGATACTTCATACAAGGCTTTTCTTACCAAAGCAGGTTTACCTGATATCTGAAAAACCCTAGCAATATTGAAAATTCTTTTGACATGATATGGCCCAAAAGAGACACTTAATATGTAACTCCTAAATTATCAGCAAGAAAAATAACTAAAATAAGATACTCATTAAACAAAGTAGTGCGGGACATGATTGTATCCTAAAAAAGGTAATTACCACCATAAAACCAAGAGACATAACAGAATCGAAATCACAAATCCTCTAATCATCTATAGATGTTTCATACAAGAAATAGCATGGATACCCAAACAGACAGACAAACACACAGACACACACACACACACAGAGAGAGACAAACAAAAATTTGGCACGGTTACTAATTGCAAAATTTAGAGCGTAGACATTAACTAAGTGCACAGAAACTTTCAGCTTGTCAAAGGGGCACCTTGTTTTTCAAGATAAAAGATATATGAGGAAACTAGCAGTCAGATAAACATTAGCTACTGGACAGTTGGTCTAGCCTACAAGTCATTGAATAACTAAACATTGGTGGATTATAAAAAGACATTCTAGGACTAAGGAATCAGGACTGGTAGTAGATGCTTGAAGATAAGCAGAAGATATTCTAGGACTAAGGAATCAAGACTAGTAGATGCTTGAAGATAAGCATAGGACCAAAAAGACATACAACAGGGCAAGAACATAATGTAACTGCTGCATGCAGAGCTAAGATCAGTACAGATGAACAATTAGTTTAAGTGTTTAACAGTACTCTTCCCCTTTCGCCTCTGCATTATCATACTCTCCGAGTAACGAAAGCTCATTTCAAAGCTCACTCACCTTAAAAATAACAAAGAAACTAAATAAGTTGTGCACCCATATAAAAGAACATGAAACTTACTTGGACCAATTCATCAGTGGTCATAGCACAAACTGGAAGATGCTCAGCAGATTGAACACGAATGCTTGCCCCAGTCTCACTTCGCAATTTCTGAATAACATCGCCTTTTCTTCCTAAAAGGCATCCAACCAAATTGTTTGGAACAAGTAGACGTGTGATGATTACAATTTCATTCTTATCCTCATCTTGTGCTTCATGCAAGTCTTCTTCAACAATCCTATTGTGAACTTTTAACAGAGCATCTTGCGCTGCACAATGTGGCTCCATGCTGCCATTTTCTTCCTTTAATTCTGGATTTCCATTGTTGTTGTCAGTGTTTTGTCTCCTAGCTAGCTTTGTAGAGGGACTAGAGATCAGTATTAGTCTATCATCAGAACCAGGCACACTGTCAGCAACCGTAATCTTTGCTTGAGTTTCCTCTCTCAGGGCTTTGATTATGCTACCACCTTTTCCAATTACACTACCAATTTTTTTGGATTGACAAAGTATACAATAAGTAGTATCTGAACTTCGAGAACTTTCAGATGACCGTTCATGACCAGGATAATTCCCCTTTGCATTTTTAGTGCCTCCCTTCCTCTTGAATTGGGGGTTAGAGCGTTGCTTGAGAAAATTTCTTTTGTATTCGTCCATGACTGGTCGGACTAAATAACTCTCAACAAACGAATCTTTTTATCCCTCGTGTAACTTCTTTCTATTTTAGTAGTTACTCCAATAGGGTTATGACCTGAAAAACGAAAATTGCTTAGCAAGAGACAGAGAGGGAACCAAGTACAAAAATAAACAAGTAAAAGTTCTTATAAGGTATGATTGCATCCAAATTACTGATAGGGTATGAAAGGAGGAAGGAATTTCTGCTAACATGGGAGGGGCTTAAGTTTCAACAATTGGACTAGTGGAAATGAAACAAACACATAATCCTCAGACATTGCAGAGTGCCTTCAGCTCAGTTTTATTTAGAGACCAGCCAGTGCATTGTTCTCATATTTGGTGTTTTACCAGTCCCCATCTCTTTTGCAGTGTAAATAGGCTTATTGATAATCAGAGATTAATGCACCTCAGGTTAAGTTAATGGTACGGGTCCGTGACCAGAGGAATGAATTAACAATTAAACATGCCTTGTAAAATAAGCATACTGCCCCCTTTTCCAAAAGCAAATTAGACAGAAAAGTTCCCATCAAGTATCAAAAGCATCCAATAACATTCAACAACCGGAATCCCCTGAGAAAAGAGAATCAAATAAGAGGTGGATAGTGTAAGATTATGTCTGGCAACAAAAGCGCCTCTAGAGAATCTTCTTCCAGCATAATTGTCAAAAGGTTAACAGCCTAGAGAAGTGGCAAGATATAAAACGTGTGCTTTAATGAAGAATATGCAAATGAAGGAATATATACTATGTGTGTATATATGAGTGTGCGCGTGTGCATGTGTGTGTGCAAACACACATGAAAACTTACACACAGCAATGACAAGTAATTATAACCAGAAAAATAACTATATGACGAAAACACACCACAATGACAAGTAATAATAACCAGAAAAAACAAAAACTACAATTAAGTGAAAACATATTAAGTAAAAGGCCTAATACATGAAATGAAACTCCAACTTGCACACATTTGCAAAACTGGTCCCCTATAACTATATGGACATTTTGGAAAATATTTTGATAAGTTGGAAAAAATAAAAACTACAATTAAGAGAAAATATATTAAGTAAAAGGCCTAATACATGAAATGAAACTCCAACATGCACACATTTGCAATACCGGTCCCCTACTTAAACTTGTTCCAGTTTAGAGCATCGACTTGTTAAAATCCCACATAATAAACACATTTGAAAGAGGGACAAGGGTTTAAAATAGCACATGTTCCTCAATTGTGTTGACGTAGATAACACACAACTTATCGCATAGAACTATTATTGACCTTCACTTCAAAGTTCAAACTCAAATCCATGCATCTTCAAGTGGAGCTATATTTACTTGTTTAAACCCCCACTTATACCACACACATCCACAAATATTCATCTACCAAATAGACTTGCCACCACGGGGTTTCCCACGAGCCCAATTGACGGAACGCTATCTCCAATGAGGATAGAACTGCAAGGTCCTCCTCCTAACTCCTCTTAAAGTAAACAGATATCCCTACAAAATAAAGAAACCTCCTGTTACTTCACACCCTCTTTACTTCACACCCTCTAAACCACCCACTGCACCGGCCACTGCAGCTCCGATGACGATGACTCAAAGCCCACAAACTGTGATAATCGACATTATTTCTCCAAACGTATTCAACACCATACTTAGTGACTTCATAAGTGTTGTACAGCCTTGCCAAATTCTCTTCTTCTTCTTCCTCCAAGGCGAGAGAAACTTATCATCGACGACCAAGTTCAGTACTATAAAAAGAGAATGAATTAGAGAGAGGAGGTAGGGTAGAGATTGAATGTGAGCGATGTATAGAGAAACAAAGAATGGAGAAAGTAAAGAGATTTTCTTAGAGAGAGGAGGTGGGTAGAGGTTTACGAGGAGAGGAGGGAGAGGAGAAAGAGGAGAGCAATGGAAGAAAGAAGATAAAGCGAGCTTTTTTTATCACATCCCCACTCCCTAAACGCCTAATTCACATGCCATTAAACCAGCTTAGCCGTTTTCATGTCACATACGTATAGTCAAGTGCCAAAGTTGTTGATGATATGGGATTTTGACAAGTAGATGTGCCACAAGTCCATGTAGGACATTGCATGCAAGTCGGGGTGTAATTTATATTTAGCATTTAAACGGAGGAGGGTAGAGGGGCGGGCCCATCATCCCCGAGTTCCAAAAGCTACGTTTGGCCCAAAGGATTGGCTCCAAAAGCAACTCTCAGTCATAAAAAAAGTGTATTAAGCCTAAATCAAAACTATGTCAGTCAAAGTTCTTTTATTCAATAAAACTATGTATCAAGTTCAAAACCATTTTATCAAGACGAAGTTTGTAACTCAGATTTAATGATTAATTTGGTCACACCACATTTCTAATTTCCGCTCCTAATCACTAGTATGTTCATCCACAATGTTTTCATAATAATTGATATATCACTTTACTAGTTATACCTTTTGGGTAATGTTCCCCTCATGAGTACTGAGACTTATAGCTTAGCGCCTTGGTGCCTACACTAAAACAAATCTACATAGAATTTTAGGGCCTAATCAAGCCTTAACTATGCCTTTAAGAACGGTATATCCCGCGGGTTAGAAGAAAAATTGCACTAGATGGTTATTTGTTCTAGCTCCTAGTATCACAAAAAAACAATTTCTCATTTAACCAAAACTTCATTGAACTCCTTAAGCTGGATCCTCTCGTACGCAATGAAAGATGGAAGTCATATTCTCCAAGCTGCTCTTATGAAACCTAAAGTTATACATTACTATTGAAGTTTGTGACTATCTCATCTAAAAACTTAAGCTATTAGAGAGACCACACATTTAATTACTTATTTATATTATCTTTATGCGCTCCCTTACGTGCAGGCCTAATTCTTTTTTATGGGCCAAACACATGGAACTTTTTTTATTTTTCCGCTTTTTGGGTAGTGGTGTGATTTGAACCCAGGACCTTTGCCCATTCGGATACTATATTGAAGTGTGTGACCCTCAAGCAGGGGCGGATGTAGGCTTGAATATACGAGTTCAGACTCAATAGTTTTGGCTCAGACCTTGTATATGTGTTAAATGATTCACTAAATTTGTACACAAATTAAATTCAGAACCCGGTTACTAGGACTTGAGGTCGTTGTCCTAGATTCTAAAACCCATAAAGTTCAAATCCTAGATACTCCAGTGTCTAAAAGCTTAAGCAATTAGAGGTAACACACTTTTAATTACTTAAATACAATATGCCTTAACAATATTTAATGATGTTAAAAAGTATAAATTACAGCTTCATCAATGTTGTTTCTACTTCTCCCCCAAGTAGTATGTATTACTTTACCAGTTTCACGACATTGAGAAATTATATTCAACAAAAGAACAATCGTTATGCTCAACAATTCAAGTTATTATATGCGATAAAATAACAGATTCTATGTATTTATAACTGAGAACAACTAGTATTTATTATTCTATTTGG